CTGATGCCCTGCTCGTGCCGCAGTCATAAATATGAAAACGTAGGGGCCAGGATGGAGGAGATAACCACACTCATGCGCTGAGCTAAATACCCCAAGCACCACCTCACAAGGCTGCGATATGCCAGATGTCTGAACAAACTGTAAATAACTCTAGATAATTGTAGATAATTAATCTAAGCTTAGTTTGTAATAAAGATGTTGGACCGATAAAGCGAGGATTCTTGCAATTCTCCATAAAGCTGCCGGTGTTGCATCCGATTCACGTTTTTCTTCACAACTCAAACTCTCGGGCGTGTGCACTCACTGAACAGACATAACGGCGTGCAACACTGGAACTACGGAAAGCCAAACAGTTCAGGACAGGTTAACGTTAAATGGCCATTGTTACCGACCTTGTCAACCTTTTGTCCGTACAGCCTTTTTCGAACTTTTTTCCCGCTTTCCAGTGTTGCTTGTCGTTGATTTCTGTTCAGTGAATGCGTGCGCCAAGGGCTCGATTTATGAAGGGGAAAGTTTGATTCTGTCACTCTCCATATTTTCTGGTAGCTGATGTACGCTAGCTTTAAAAACACAGCAGCCCAGCCCACCTGGTTTCCCTTGCAGCTCCACCTCCAAACCCGTAGATCACTTCATTGCCACTCCCAGCGTGCCCCTCCCATTTTTTTCAAAGTTGAGCCAGGGGTAGAGTTACTTTTTAACAGTAGTTCATTATGGTATGGTATCGGCGAATACTAAAAATATGTGCTCGTACTTATTCTGAAAAAAATGGTATTGATGCATCACTAAATTTTCAATTACAATCTTTTTCAAATACTTGCCCATAAGACTTGTTAGTTTAGATTTTTGTTTTGTCTAGTGTGCACTGAATCTTCATAAGAACTATGTAGTGTAGTACCTGTATAGTGTTTTAAATTATGAATAGGCATGACTTATTCATTTCACACACACACACACGTATATGTGTGTGTGTGTGTGTGTGTGTGTGTGTGTGTGTGTTCACTGTTGCTAAGAGCCATTTTGTGGAATTTTCATTTTCATAGTTTTGCTGTCTACCACTCCTTTCGCTCAGTGTTGTTGATGATAGGACTGCAAATCCCTGCCTGTTTGATCCCTCTCTCAGTTAAATTGCATTGCTGAACATTACTGAACATTGCCAGTGGTCTTATCTCTGTAATCAATGTTTCGTTTACATGATCATAGTATCTGTTAGACTGGGTAAGTATGCTCAGAAAATATACAAGTAAACCTTTTTTTGTAAATGACAAGTTTTCTTAAGAAAACTTTTTTTGCCTTTGTGAAAATAAAGAAAAAAAACAACAGCAGCAAAAAAGTCAGACTGTGATAATGAAAGAAATAGTTGAACTTAATGGTAGGGTGCACAAACATGAGCAAACGTATCTATGGGCCATTCAGAGAAGAATAATCTTTATTTTACCCAGGATAGCTCCCTTTGTTATCTCAGCACTCGTTTAAAGTTGTCTGAAATCCGGAGAACAAATCAATTTTTCCTACATGCCCCAATCAATATGAAGGAAAGAGTAATTAGGGTTCAAGCATGCAATACATTGAACCCTAGATTTTTCTTATTATTTTTCTTCCCTGAAACGGAACGCACAGCCCAAACCGTAAGTCCTAGAGACATGAAACTTGGTCAATAGGTAGTAGTCCCTCCCGCTACTCAGGCGCAAGAAATCAGCCCAGTCGGCCACAAGGGGGCGCTATAGCGCAGAAAAATCAGTTTTGCCTAATAACTCCTAATGCAGATTTTTGCCAGACAAGACACATTTTTTTCCTGGTTCTATGGGTCCAAACAAACAACTTTGCTATTGGGACCATTCAGCTCCGCCCACTTAGATTTTTCGCAATACTGCAAAATATGCAAAACCTACTTTTGCGAACTAGTCCTACAATTTTTGCCCGATCCTCATGTAATTGGTGTCAAATAATTTAGAAGAGCCTGAACCTCAATAATTATCAAAAACATTGTGACTTTTTTAAACAGCATGGCTGCCATATGCAAATGAACCCTTCTGGATAAATTCAAAATAATTCTGAATTAATTGAAAATTCTGTAACTTGGCAACCCTTCAGCCAACAAATTTCAAACTTGATAGACATATTCGGCAGAAGATTCTGAGGTGGCCATTCGATTTTTATGCACATAAGTAATTAGGGGGCGGAGTTAATGCTACTTGGCTGTTTCCCAGCATCCGTACATCCGATTAAGCTGAAACTTTGCATGCAGCATCTAATGGCCATACTATAAGTGGTCCTATAAGGACGATACATCAAAATTTGTGGTCGCCATCGGCCAATTAGCATTTAGCAGGCTTTTTACAGGCTTAACATTGACCAATCATCATGAAACTTGAATGATGTCTACAACTACCCACCTCATAACAAATAATCAAGTTTCAAAAGATTTGACCACTGGGGGGCGCTATTCATAAAAACAAACCTTTTATTACATGTCATTACTATATTATTACAGGTTGGATGAAAAACCAATATGAATCCATTGTAGTACATTATGACAAACAATTTTGCAAATACATGTTTATCACAAAACTGTACAGTTTTTTTGTGATCATTAACTGTTTGAAAACCCTCCTTTTCGAACTAGTCTCTGGATTTTGATCCAATCTTTTCGAACCTGGTCTAGAACAATTCTGTGGCATCACTAGGTAAATAATTATCAAAAACATTTTGAGTTTTTTACTCAGCATGGTGTGCAACAATCAATTAATTGCTGCGGCCATTGCATTGCTAGCTTGATTTGCTATAACTCAACAGCCATTGGTCAGATCATGTCCATTCTTTGAGGATTTATTCAAATTAAGACTATAATAGAGGATGCCAAGTTTGGTCCAGATTGGCCTTTAGGGGGCGCTTCAGCACTCAAAAACACTTAAAAATCAATTAAAATGCAATTACAGTGTTATTACAAGGTCTGCAAACAAATAATTGGTACCATGTGACTCACCGACCTGAACAACTTTCTAATTGCATGTTATTTGAAAATTTGTACTGCTTGTCTTTTATTTTGGTTTATTCATTCAAAGTCTACATTATACAAAGACTTATTATACAAAGGTCAAAAGGTCAGTCTACTCAAAACTTAGGATACAGCCTCATATATGGTCCCTGATCAATAATCATACCATATTGAGACCTTTTGACAAATTCTGACCCACTTTCACTGAGCTGCTCACACCATTACTGCCCCTTATGAGTGCATTAGCCTCACTGTGGCCTACATCAAATCAAAGGGTAAATATAGAACCAATCCACTGTGCAAGTGCTACTATGTGAGAAATGCTGCCATTAGTCATGTAGTTTTGACATCTATGTTGACAACCTCTTGGATGTTCTACAAACCAGTGTAGATCAGTACATATGAATGTAAACCTATAATGTGTTTAAAGACCTCTGCTCACTTTTTATGGCAGGTGAAGGCCTTTTGACGAACTGACTTCCTTTCAGTTCTATTCACTCTGCTTATGAATAAGACCCACAGCTTGAGGCCTTTTTAGGCCTAATGGGCTAAACGAAAAGTTTGAGGCCTTTTTAGGCCTAATGGGCTAAACCAAAAGCTTGAGGCCTTTTTAGGCCTAATGGGCTAAACCTGCAGAAGGGCCCATACTGCTGTTGCATGCTTGAACCCGCTCCTTGCTGCTTGCGGCTATATTGTCTTTTTGGTATTATAGCCGTGAACTGACAACATATTTTGTCAACTTTGTCTGCATTGATGCACAGGCAGACAGACACATGCGCACACACATGCACACAAACACACACACGACAATATAAAAGACATGCTGGACATTACTGGTAAATTGATTTATGTTGCAGGAGACAAACCTGCCTGTCTGTATGTATAGGTCATGGTAATGTACACACACACACACACTTTTTATTGAGACCAAACTGGTGGAGGATTGGAATCAGCAGTGTGGGCTGTGCCTTTAGCGGTCTTGCTGACAGTAGTCCTGTGTGGGTTAGAGGGCTACACAGCTGATTGGAAAGGCAGGGGATAAGCATGAGTGAAATGGCAGGTAGCTATGTGCAAGTGCAGTGGTAATGTTTTGACCATATCAGTCTTGTTGACTCTTTCTCCATGTGCTTGTTGGGGGGGTTTATAGCTGCACAGCTAGTCTAACAGCACTGTGCCTTTTGGGCTTGCTGTGTAGGCCTGTGTTCTTCTCCGTTGGCCTCGGCCCCTCCCTCTCTTATCAGGCTGTCTGCATTACACTGATACTTAACAACCATCCTGCTTGGCCTAATCCTGCCATCACACCTCCTTGAATCAGTTCCCCTCCCTTAAACTCACAATGCTGGACTTTATTTTACAGGGAATAAAAAGAGAGAGAGCAAAGTTTTCACTCTTAAAAAGGGTGTTTTTCAAGGACTTTTCAAGGAAGTGAAGTCAGTGTGTGTGTATATATATATATATATATATATATATATATATATATATATATATATATATATATATATATATGAGAGAGAGAGAGAGAGAACCATGGCAACTCAACTTGTTCTATAGAGCATCAAAAAGACTTACACTATTGGTGCAAGTCACGAGTCAAATTATATAGAACTCTTGGTAAAAGTCTCAAGTCACATTATGTAGAGCCCTTTACACTTTTGTTTGTTTCTCTGAAATTTCATTATGCCATGTTTGCAGCCTAGATGAGTTCTGTTTACTGGCATTACGTGATGAACCATTTTCGAAAATGTTTAGAAGGAACAAAGGAGTCTGTTGATAGAAAAAGTCCAGAAGGCAAGGAAAATCTTTTTATGTTAATTCCCACCAGACATGCAATCGTTTAAAGCAAGCTGTGCATGGACTGACTGAAAATAGTGCTGCTTAAATAGCTCATTGTTCAGTAAATCATAAACAGCTCTTTTTTATCTTTAGGACCACATTCAGTCACTGTCATTGTCATTGCTTTCATAAGTGTAGTGCAGTTTTGGCTAACGCTGTTGTTGTCCTGCAGCTCTGCCCATGCTGAGGAACTGTGATGGCTCTGCTGCAACATCACAGCACAGGTCTGTAGCTGATGTGGAGGAACTGGCGGCCAGCTATGAGCGGAAACTCATTGAGGTGAGTTCTGTTTCAGAAGGTCACCTAGTCTCTGCCCTCAGTACTGCTCAGTGCGTAGGCAAACAAACAGGTGCCCACTTCTGACAACAAACACTAGTTTCTGTTTAATGATTTGTCTGATCCAGTGGTTCCCACCCCAGGGATTGCTCTGTCCTTGAAAAACTGTCATAGATTATAGTGAAGTAGCTTGGAAAACATATGAAATTTGATATTGTCTCATCTTTGGTGAGAAATTAATTATTAATTTATGCTACTGGTATGGAAGGACAAATTCTTAAATATATTTTCAGTATGTTTAATGAGGGTTTCTGCTGTCTGCACATTTTAAACCCATTTAAATGTAACTATGTTTAACTTCATAGTCAGTTGTCTTTTTCATAAAGATGACAGGTAATTCCTTTTTTAGTAATTTATTGCTAACTGATGACAAATTTGAAGTTTTGTTTGGCAACACATAAAAACAATGTATTCTGCAAAGTAATCAAGAGAAAAATAATTGTTTCTCGCAGTTCTCTTCTAAAAGATTTTTTAATCAAGATGCAGTAAGAATTGTTTTAGGGTCACATTCTCTCATCTCAAATCAAAACTGAACTGGATCATGAGATGCTAGAGATTTTCAACCTTATTGCAGAATAAACCAGGCTGCAGCCAATATCTTATGTTAATGACTCGGGAAGCACTGGTCTGACCAATTAACCATACTGTCACTCCTTATGGATCAGTAGGTTCTGAAGTATCCTTGCCTTACAAGGTTCATTGTTTTCCCTGGCTTACTACATCCACATCAGCTCAGTAAGGGTTTGTTTAATAAGTGAGCTGGGGCAGGAAAGACAGGGTAGACAGGAAAATTCAGGGCATTGGAACTCTAGACCAAGAATAAGAACCACCTTGATCTAGATTAAATTTTTTTCGAATGTCATTTGTGGTCTAGTTGCTTCTTTTTTTCCATGTAAAATATGATATATATGCATTTTAACTTAAATTGCTTGCTTGGTTGCATGGTTAGAACAGTGCTTAGAACAGTGATTCTCAATCCAAGATAGGGTACACAAAGCAGATATTGCTGTTTTTTATGACAAGAAAAGGTGCAGTGCATGAATTCTACATAGTTACTGTTCAGAACCTCTGTATTACAATCTCTAGGTTTATGCTACTCTAGGTTTATTTTTGCTGGAATGTTCTAAGAGTCCTGACAAGAGACTGTAGAGAGTGATATGTACAGAAATGGGAAGACCTTGGAAAATGTTAATAATGCGCAACTGTTCATATATTTCTTGAACAAGTTATGATTCTGCTTATGTATGGGAATGTATCCATTAACTTTTATGCATTATGCATTTTTGAACATGATTATTTATTCCTGTCCACATTTGCTGTGGGTCTCGATAAGGCCTTACAAATGTGGACATGAGGGAACTTCCTTGTTTTGCTAATATAGATGCTAATATTTTGAACTCTTAGGGCTTTATTTGTAAATAAAAAAAATAAAAGCTCTGGCCCTTCTCTCTAGGGGGTTAAGTGCCAGCAGTTTATTTGGTTAAACCAGTCAGTTGCTGAGTTTCTGCACTATCACAAAAAGCTTATATCACTCAAAGAGCAGATATTGTTGGGAAATGGACACATTACACAATCTGCAGTTTATTTGTAACGTCAGTGTTGGATGTTTATTTGAAGCACTGTTGTAATAATTCAGAATTTCTAACTAGTTGCTAAAATGTTGCTTGGTTCATTATTGACCCCTAGTCTAGGCTGTCAGTGTATTGAAACAACACAAGGTTTATATCCTGATGTTTTTCGAAGATGTTGAATGCAATAATTATGTTTATAAATGAGAGCCTCAGTGGACTGATCCTGATGATTGGCGCTTGCAGCCATATTTAGGGGTCCAAGCACCATAGGTCTGGAGGTCAAGAATTAAAAAAAAATATCCAACAATATAGCCATCATGTGCCAATTAAGCCTCTCCGGCTTTAGCTGATTTCCCAAAAGTGGCTACAGATCGGGAATGCTTTGGCCAATTCTTGCGTAACTTAACATGTGAGGCCTATACCTCACATGGTTCTGTGAAAGCCCACCAAGTTTGATACCATTCAGTAGGGGGTGCTATAACAACAAAAATCTGTTTTCTTGGCCATGAGGTGGCGCTACTCAGTCGTATTATTATTATTTTTTTTGGATACAGATCACTTCATGCCTAGCACAGAAACCAACATTTTTTCAAATACAAGTCTTTTAAAATTCTGTTTAAAATTATATGTAAAATTAGTTTTTCTGCAGTTGTTTAAAAAATGAACTTTTATTGAAAAGAATGACTGTTCGGCATTTCCTGACATATTAGGCTATGAATCCATCTGTCTTTCTCTGCTTATAACCAAATTTGGAAATATTGTACAAAACAATCGCCTGAGGAAGCATGCCAAGTGTCAATTAAAGTGGTCTTTGTGGGCACATACAATGCTTAATCTAAAGTGAATTTACTTCAATTTCGTTATTTGTTTCTATGATTAAAATAAAGATAATGGCTTCAACCTGCACATCTCATTAACATCTAAAACTTTGCAATTATATGTCTGTTCCAAAATTGCACAGGAAATGTGGAAATATGACTTATTGTTTTCCTGTAAATTTTTTTTACAGAAAAGTTTTTTTTTCATACTTCTTCCTGGATTTTTATTGCATCATCTCAAACATGGTTTAAGACAACCAGTGAATTCTCAAGGTCAATAATTATTTTAAAAAGTCTTGCCTTTTAAGCACAGTATTTTTGCAAGGTACAAATCAATTTACCTTAAATCAGCTTTCACTTGGCTCTTACAATGGCTCTTACAATGGCAGTGTACTGCCAACAGTCAATAATTTCCTTATTTCTGTCTAAGATTAAGGTAAACTGTAGTGGTTTTTAAATTACATGTCTCAGTAAGACGTAACACTTCGCAAATATTTGTATGCTGCTAAACTTAACAGGGAATCTTGTAATTTTATTTGAACCCATCTTGATCGCAGAATCAGGTGATGCTATAGTTATTTGTGGCCACCAGAGGGGGCTTCTGCAATACCTGCAATTACCACCTTAAAAGAAAAATACAAGAAATTGAAAACTTATATTATTATATTTATCTTGTGTCTGAATGTATTATATTTCACACTTGCACATGCAAGTCTTTTAAAAACTGTATTGTATCCCGTTGGTATTAAAACAACCATCAAAGTCTCAAGGTCAATTATTATTTAAAAAATCTTGCCTTTTAAGCATGGTATTATTACAAGTTATGAATCAATTGGTTCAGTGTGGTTTATTCTGACACAGGGGCCCATAAATCTGATCTGCTCTGATTGTGACCACATTTGACATGTACATTGATAGTAATCTGCTGAGGAAACATAAGAAATTTAGCTTGAATTGGCTTAAGTTGGCTCTTACAATGCTCAATGCACTGCCAACAATCTAAAATGTTGTTGTTCCTTAAAATAAAGACACGACAAATGTTTCAAATTATACATATAAATTAGCCTTAACGCTTTGCAAATATAGGTATGTTGCTTAACTTCACAAGAAATCCTGTACTGAGTGGATCAAACACAGCAGTGATACTTGAGTTTTTAAACAGTTTTTAAAACTTTCTTTCCACTCTATTAGATACACTTACTTTGTTGGTCCGCTAAGTAGATTAAAAGTCTACTTAAAGATTTACATTACCTCATCTGTTGCCAAAGGACACTGACGGCTGCATATTTTTGGTTGTTGGACTATTCAGTCCTCAGTGACACTGGGATGTTCAAAAAGATGTCCAGCAGCACTGCTATGTCTGATCCACTCATACTGGTGTAACACACATCAACATGCCACCACCACATCATTGTCACAGCAATGCTGAGAATGATCCACCACCCAAAAAATATGTTCTCTGTGATGGACCCGTGGAAGTCCTCACCATTGAAGAACAGGATAAAAGGGCCAAATAAAGTGTGCAGAGAAACAGATGGACTACTGTCTGTAATAACATAAAACTATATAGTGCAATAGGAAGTGAAGGGTACTTTTTGAAACAGTGTTTACATACCGCATCACGCTCTTTTGTTTCAGTGAGGAAATGAGGAAAATTCAATTTTCCATTATATAAGCTCTTGAAAAAGATCTGTCATTTTGAAAACAAAATATTGCCCATCTGCACCTGTATAGTGTTCAGTCAGGGTGTGCGTCACAGATTACTTTAGTGTGATAGCTGAGAGGAGAAGCCTGTCTGGAAACTTGCGGCTAGTTCCTCTCTGTTTGGTAAAGCATAGGTTTGCTGTCCCCTGGCAGGCTGAAGTGTTTAAAGAGCTGTTTAAATCTTTACCAGTATCTCTACACACATTCTCACGCATTACTTCCAGGCCAGATCGCTTTCTCACTTACACACATTACCTGCTCTGCTGAACCTCGTAGCTGCGCTACTGTTAGAAATTCGGCACCAAGAGTCAGGAGACTAGAGCTTCAGCGTTGACTGGAGTTTATTTCCACATACAGAGTATGGGTACAGCGTGGTCGATCAGCAGTCAATCAGCAGGATCAGGAGTCTAGTCTAACAAGAATATTTTGGAAAGACCTTATATACATTGAAAAACTAAAGAGGGGGAAGGGGGAACAAAAGGACTTTGAGGAGGGGTAAGGAGGGGTTGTAGACGGGGGGTATGAATAGAGATGTAGGGGGCAGAGATAAGGGGGGGGTGATAGTATCACCATAAGGTCGTGAGACAAAGGGTCATTTAAATACAAACAAAGGAGGGAGGAGGCAAGGTGAGAGTGTGACAGTTATCACTACTTCTACAAGCAAAAGACAATTAGCTAAAACTCTACAATAAACATGGTTAAGATTATAAGAAAATAACAGACACAGAAGAGTAACATATGTTGAGAGAATTACATTAGAAAAGGAAAATAACATATGGTGACAATATTTTCTCTCAGCTACCATGCACACACATGCTCTCCTAGTCTCTCTTACTCTCTTTTGATCTTT